TCTTTTGATTTTTCTTATCAATAATTTCCTTTTTGGGAAGGGCTCCATAATACTCTACAATTACCACATTGTCATTACACCACAATTTGAAAGGATGATTTTCCCCTTTCCCTCTATCTTGGACACCTCTGTAAGTTGGACACATTATCGTGGAACCGCAAGTGTCCAAGTTAGAGAGGTTTTACTGTACTAATCTTGCTGTTCATTCAAGTCTTCCCCAGGGCATTCGATTCATGTGTTTTTCGAAATTGGTACAGGTTAATCTTTTATTCAGGTTAAATACACAGTTAACATGTATGAATGTGTTGCATTATGGTATTTACATACATATCTCTTATTTCAAATTAACATAACATGATTCGTCATAGAGTAAAATATAAAAGAATTTATTTACAGGCATAGGCCTAAGCCAAGGTTGTAGAACTTATTATATCACAAATACAATACTTGTTTCTAACACAAATATAAAGTTCATAGTTATTTGATAAAGAGTGTATTTTGTATTAAAATGGGGTCTTTTTATAGGGTTACAGTTTGTAAACTATGCAAACGAAGTACCAAACATCACCTGTTCCAAGTCGGAGTCCATCATCGCTCAGTAATAATTTACGCGGTGGATCACCTCTTCCAGTCCCAGTTGCATATAGGTTTGTAATAGAACATTGTGGATTAATAAAACATGATGTCACAGTTGCAAGCTGGAAGGAAGGTGTGTTTGAATGTGAGAAGAATGCACCACCAGTTACATAAACTTTTGGAAAACAAGAAGAGAGAGTTTTATGCAAAATTGTGTTAAAAAGGTATTCACAAATGTGATTTGCATTATTTTGTGTTGCCATATGACATCATTTGTTAAATCATTTGGTGACACATTCTTACTACACCCTTTTGCATGTATATGTGGAAGCTAACTGTGACGCATATTTTTGATCTTCTCAAATTGTAACATTTTAACTTATTTTATATCCTTTAATAGGTTGGATTGTATGACAGCAGCAGCAAAGAGATACAAGTATCTCCGAAGACTCATAAAATTTCAACAGATGGACTTCGAATTTGCATCCTGGCAGATGTTATACTTGTTCATTGCACCGCAGAAAGTTTATAGGAATTTTCATTATAGAAAACGTAATTATCACAATATGTTTTTGGTTCTTGGTAAGAAGAGCTTTGCCGAATGTGTTTTGTATTTTGCATTTAATTTAACCTTCTGTGTTGTATACAATTTCCTAAGCTTTTTGTTTTCATTTATTTGTGATTTATATTCTTCTCTCAAAGTAAGAGATCACTCTCCACCATTGGAATCTCCTGGCCACAGTAGGTTAGACTGATAGTTTTTGGAGTTGAATTGGTAAGGCAAAATATTGCTTTTTTTTCACTTGCAGAAACAAAGTCACAATTTGCCCGAGATGATCCAGCATTTTTGGTACTTCTGAGTATCTGGCTTTGTGGTAAGTAAATCAGCTCTTTATCTTTAGATGTAGAAAAGTAAGATGAGTATTGATATTTAATGGGTAGAAATAGTAATGAGGTTGAAAACTTTTGATGAATTGTACCTTTGTGTATAAGATTACTTTTCATATTAACTAATCCTACAAACACAATGGAAAGGGGCTTTAATGATCATCACAGTCATTCTAGAGTATTTACTGAAGGGGACAAAAATTCCATTACCCTTACCAAGAATTTAAACCTTCGCCATGAGGTTTGCACCCTTTCCCTCTTACTGATCTAGCCATCCAAAATATATGTGGATACCAGTAAGTCACAGATTATGACAGAAGCAACCTAACTCAGTATCACAGGTAAAATTGTCATATATGAGATTAAGAGAGTTTGTGGTGTAAAATATTATAGTTTATCTTTATTGTTTTTCAGCATCTTCAGTTGGTTTTGCCCTAGTACTCAGACTTGGTTTCTGGGGCTTTGTGAAGTTCCTCTTATATGTAATATTTGTAGACTGTATAGGAGTTGGACTCCTCATAGCCACTTTGTTTTGGTGAGTGATATATTGTATTATCTGTCCAATCTCAGAATGTGAGACATTTCACTTTTAATCCTTTTTCCTCCACTAAAAGAATGAAAATATAGTTATTTGTTATATCAGTTCTTTAGTGAGACAGATGATTGAGTTTGTGTGCATGTGTGTATATGCACAAGTAAGTTTTATGTAGTAAACAAAATAGAAGTTTCATATCTGAAATAAAAACATTCAGTGGTTTACTTTTAAACAAATTTGATATGGTACATTACAGTTCTTTTTGCATAGAAGTTGTCAGCATTTAACTTATGACAGTTACATGATTCTGATCCTGACATATCTCCTGTCATTTGTTACACTTACAGAATTTGTGTAAACCAGTAAATTGCTTAAACAGTTCCATATGTTTTAGCATTTGGAGCTTTCACTCTTCAATTGTTATACAGCAAACCATTCTCCAGTGTGGACTTATTTATATGCATGAAAAGAAATACAAACAGTTGTTTGCTGAATGTGGGAAATGTGATTATGTATGGTCTAATAAACACCCTGTAGTAGCATATGAAAAATACCAACTGTTTAAAAACTAACGATAGCCCAGTATTAAGAATTTTATTTTATTTTAATGCTTAACTTTCTGATGATAATTTATTATATTAGTTTTTTCATAAATAAATATCATCACAGTATTTCTACAGTTTTACTGTTTATTTACTTTGACTTTATACATTTACATTCCATTGTGGATTCAGCAAACATGCTGCTTTCAAGGGATGTATCCCCGACATTGGACCAGGATTTACTATATACAGTCCTCAGATTTCATTAACATGCACTGTGTTTCAGGTTTATAAGCAATAAGTATCTCATCAAACCATCTTGTCAGGACCAGGATGTGGAATGGGGATATGCATTTGATGTTCACCTTAATGCATTCTTTCCCCTTCTTATCATTCTTCATGTATTTCAGCTCTTTTTTTATGACGGTGAGTTCAGATTTTGAGACTGCTTAAAATTCAAGCCAAGAAAATTGTGTTAATTATCATGAATGTCTGATTAATGCTTGCATTTAAATAATAGCCTTGACTCAAATTATGGGTGGGGTCACTTGAGTCGGTATAGTGACTAGGCTATCTATTGGAAAGTTGGGGTTCAGAGTTTGGGATTATTCTCCTCTCCAGTTGATACTTAGGTCTTGTGTTCTGACCTACGTCAGTACACTGGAGCTGACTGATGCAGCTGGGCAAAATACCTTTACATGTATTCTATTCCATAAACACCAATACACTGCTGGGTTAGGGAGTACAGAATATAGATTTGATGTATTTGGAAAAAGGGATGTTCCTTAAAGGGGTTGAAGATTTGTAATTTTGCAAAAGCAGATTGCAAATCAGAGGGATGAGAAACAGTGGTCTAAAAGATTCATTTTTCTGTTTTTCTTGTGTTACAGTATTAATTAACCATGAATGGTTTGTGTCAAGATTATTTGGCAACTTTTTGTGGTTGATTGCTCTTGGCTACTACATCTATGTAACGTTTTTGGGATACAGCTGTAAGTAATCAATACTTTTAATGCAACACAAGTAATTAAAAATGTTATAGTAAACTTAAAAGAGTACTGTAACATATAATAATGAAAACTGAAAATTTAATTAGTTCATTGTATTAATTTTTTGCTTATAGAGAAACTGCACTTTATTGGTCTTTAAATATATAAGTACAAAAAATTGGTGTTTGAAGGGTGGTTAACTTTAGCATATACTGTCCTGACATTTAAGTGTAAGAAACAGAAAAGCACAGTCACATACAGTGAAATTGACATCAGAACTTGATCCAGCAATTTGATTGTGAAGCAGACAGGTATATGAGCATTGACAACAGGTCTGAGGAAAGATCATGTAACATATTTAAGTATGTTTGTCATGAATGAAGATTCATGCATTTACAATAAAAATCAACATAATTGTCAAGAAAAATTTGATGTAAAATTTTGTGAACCCATGTAAAATGCACTCACCATTATGAGACAAGCATGTCAGTAAGCCTAAGCAGTGTCTTTAAACAACTGAATCCTCCAGTTAATATTGATGAACTTGGATATGGGAAACCACTTGATTCTTAAAAGAAATTTGGCAGTATTGGTCATTAGAGCCATTTTTTTTATCTGAAGTATTTAATGAAGTGTTTGATATATCACACGAATTAAACACCAAAGTTAAAAGCATTTCAGAGAGATTATTGAACTAAATGTTGCAAACGTTTTATGTCTCGTCTTTCTTTATACAATGAGCCAATTTCAGTAAATTCTGTCAAAGCCTGTAAAATTACATATAAGGTTCAAATCTGAAGTTTATCTGATTCTGATTACTAAATATCACACATTCTTGTTTATACATTGATTTTCTTGACATACAGGTTTGCCAATCTTGCATAGAACCCATATACTGTTATATCCTCTGACAACGCTGCTGTTGGTGTATGTGGTGACAGTGGCCATTGGGTGGAATGTGAGTCAGACAGTAATGGACTTCTACAAGTATCGAGTATTGTGATCACTCAACATCATGTGTGTGTGTCTGTACAGCCAGCAAGTAAAATAATTGCATCGATATTCTTGTAAATTAATTTGTTTATAAATAGACAGTAAAGTACCTCAGTACTATATCTCTACAGTGCATTGTCTTTGTCATTCTTCCATGCCAATATATTGTAGTTCATGGTGTATCTTAGTTTGAATTAACAGTTAATGTTTTGTGTACTGGCATTGTATATCAGATACTAAATTTGAAAACATGATGTGATATTGGTATACTGTTCAGATTAGAATTGGAGCACAGGATGGGAAATACAACTGGAGGAAGGTGTATTAAAGGGAATGTCGGTGCTAGCATTAAATATTGTTATCTTTATTTATTGCTGTTCCTGAGCATAACTGTTGAAGTCCTAATACAGAAGTGTGTGTGCTTTTGGTGGTACTTGTTTTCATATGGTGCGTAAGTATTGGTAGGGCATTGTTAACGATAAGATAATCTAGGGTATGGGAATGATTAATAACATTCACCAGTTTGAAAACTTTTTTAATTGAGCAGGATGACTGCTCAATTGTGAGAGAGAGAGAATCTTTTTGTGTCAAATTGTCTTCATTATTGTTACTTGGTGTCATGTCTGATTTGAATTGGTCTCTTTAAATGCTGACATTTTATTTTATTATTAAGATGTAATTTAAATTATATATAGTTTTGATTGAATGAATCCTTGATCACTTTATTGTGCGAAAAATTATAAATCTTTCCTTTGAGGAAGTCGTTATAGGTACGCGTAAAGTATGCATAGAAGACTGCCATTTATGAGTTGGACAACAAACATTGTATTTACCAGCTAATATATGGTACAAATTTATGATGATTTTTTTAAAAAAACAACGTTTCTGATTCAGGCACAGTTTAGCAAGAGTGCTCTGGGCTGCCTTTCTTGAACCTTAGTCACTTACGTCAAAACAGTTAATTTGTAACATTTTACTTCTAAGTAATTCAAATGTCTAGCTACTTTTCAGTAGTCATAAATTTTATGTATATACTGAAAATGTGTCATAGATCTATGATTATGGTTACTAAGTCTCCCTCCAGTGAACTAAACATGAAGGTTCAGCACACCATAAAACACAAGCTATATCATTTCACTCCCCGCGCAGTCTGAGGCATGATGCTTCGAACCAGTGATACGGAATGCGCACTGGTTCGAGTCTCGGGGAAAGAAATTTCTCATGAGATTTTCAACCGGTGACAACCCAGCATCGTGAGGAAATTGGGGAGCTACAATGGGTAGCGTAATCCTGTCATGAAAACTAGCAATGGCTGGGGGTTCGTCGTGCTGACCACGTCACCCTATATCTGATTGGATGACCTCTGCTTGGGCATGTGAATGTGAGGCCGGCAGCCAGCTAGTCGGCTTTGGCTCTCAGAGGGCTGTTACGCCACGGATTATTATTACTATATTATTTCACTCTCACCTCCTGATAACTCACCTCTGAAAAATCCATTTTTTGGCTTTGGAACCTAACCTATGGATTTCTAAAATGTAACACGTGTTAAGTAACTGGTTCTCAAGTGGCTCCAGCTGTTTTTGTGAGTACTACAAGTCTGGCATAACTAGAATTAAGATGTTATGAATTTCACATGTCTGCAAATTTTTATGTACATCCTGAATAATCTCACAGATACAGTGATTTATCTCCTTACATATTTTGGAACATCTAAACCTAAATATTCATTAAACTGAATGTGGCTACAGAATATTTTTGTATAAAAACTATACTGGATGCAGAATATCTGTATCAGCCACATCACAGTAAGGGGATAAGGTAAGTTATATAGGGCAGGGGAGGAGCAAGGCACCTTATGCACTGTTGCTTGCCCTCCTGTACCTTGGCCGGCTGACCACCAACTTGTTTGTGATGGTCAACAAAGCTTAATGATATGACAGGTATACTGTGGTATGCTACAAAGCTGATCCTCTTACACAAGAATGTCAATGGACAAAATTCATCAGTCCTGACTGATCAATGGGATTCTGTAATAGGTTTTTATGTTGGCTGTCTGATCTTTGGATAACCATGTAAGGATTCGATCTCTAATGAACTGTGACCATTTATTGATTAAAAGTATGCATCATGGTAGAATAGTTTCTTTAAATGACACTCCATTGTTTATAAACTTTACAGTACATATAAATTATAATGTTTAGATATTTTAAAATGAGTGTAACAGATACTTATGTAAAATCTATTTCTTTTTCAGAAAATTATATGCTCCTTCATTACATGATGAATAGGAGATACAGATTATTTTCAAGAGTATTATTGTTGTATTTGGTATGCAAAAAAGATGTAAGTGATAAAGTTGTCCCTGTTTTTAATTAAGCACCACACCATGATGGTATATGAAGAAGAGCTTCACACATTCTTAACATCAGCACTACATGGAGGTGAGTGGTCAGCTTCACACTCCAGCCCCTTTACTAACAGTGGAGCAGGGAACTCTTAATATGCTACTTCAACTCCCAAGTTGTTATGTTATACAGTATTTGGTGGTAACGTTTCTTAACTAGTAACGCACATACTGGTATATGTGGAGTTCTTCATATATTCACAAGTGTGCATACTCAGTTTTTAATTAATTACTTTAAAAACATTTGATTTTTATCTCAGTACAATAATTTTGTATTTTATATGAATGATTCATAAGTTCATCTCTTATTTCTGTTTGTACTCACACTGTTGTACAAAAGCGTGTCCTGGGATTCACTGTGAATATGTAAATACTTTACATCTGTACAACAATAATAAATTAATCAGAAAAGATGTCTCATTAAGCTTAATATTTTATTTCTACACATTATATATATACACACACAGCACCATACATACATGTTAACACAAGACGATTCCATTTACAAAATGTTGCTTCAATTGCTGTTGGAAACATTACAATAAAATAATCTAAAGATGAGCTGCTACAATTTTTTTTTGTCTATGTCCTGCCTTTATTGTGCACCTTTTTGGTCAACTAAACAGATACCATTTATCATACCACAAACCCTTTCTTCACTGCCATTGTCACCCAGCATCTCAACATTTTATGTGTTACACATGCAGTATTAGTCACAGAACTAAACTTTATTACATTAGAAACACAACTCTTCTCACTGTTTAGATCAGGAAATTTGTGAGTCATTCAGTGCATTATCTTCATGACAGTTGAATACAATTCTACTTTTCCTGAATGTTCTGTGCAAGTGAATGTGAAGATCTCCAAAAAATTCCATGTTTTCCAACTGTATTACATGGAAGCATGGCACCAATTCATACCAGGTACATATCTCTGTTGCTTGTTAAGAAGGTCTGAAGTCAATCTCCAATGATTTAAGCCCTTCTTACTAAGCAGTGAAGATATTCTTAAAATTATCCATTGTCAGGACTTTTTTCCATCGTCTGTTTTTAAAATCACGTTTCGGAGGCTGGTTCTGTCTCCGTTTTCACTGGACCAGTGACAGAGACTAGCTCTTTCTTAGGGACCCAACAGAGTAGGTACCTCTCACCTGAAGACGGAGACAGAACCAGCCTCCGAAACGTAGTGATTTTAAAAACAGACAATGGAAAAAGTCCTGACAACGAATAATTTTAAGTGTAAACTACCGTTGTCAAAAGCCTTTAGAATTGAGTGAAGATATTAATTAAATTTTGAGCATATATGTGTATGTTTATAATAATTATTGCCTTTTCTTATTTGATTTGACAGCTCGAGGCTTTTGCTTCTCACTTCCCGTAAAGAATGAAGTTAGTACCTCAGACACTTCTGGCATGTCATATTTGAAATTGTTGAATTGTTCCATTTCCTGCAAAAATAAGATGCTTAAATGATGACATAACCTATATAGTATGTAGAACATAATGCAAACGTTACATGTTGTCCATTGTTTAGCAATGTGTAAACACAAGGTTAATTTTTCCCAGTCCACATATAGTAATTTCACTATGGGTGAATGCAGTAATTAAATTTGACATTTGTTAGATAGTGATGAATTACCTTTCTTGCATCTGGATCATTCATCATCTTGGGAAGTATCATTATCAACAGTAAGGGCAAAACCATCATCAAGACCTAGAATGATTGACATTATTGAAGATTAAAATACTGATACATCCAAAATATCACTCAAATAAAACCATAACCCTATTCTTACAACCATAATAATGGATACCTGTATAAAAATCACAAAACTTGCATGTGACATTGTGCTATATAACATGTATATTGGAATAATGTGGAAGGCAAATTTAATATTAATTCAGTGGTGTGGTAATCATTAATCATCAGATTGCTATGATCAATAACTCTTGGTTGTAAGCTAGTCCTCCAAGGAATTGAAATAAACCAACATACCTAAGACTCAGATAACTGGGGTCGATATTAAACGTACCTTTTCAGTGAATTTTAAGCATTAAACTAAATTGTCTGGTTTCTTTTATATATATATATATATATATATATACAATTAATATGTTTAGATTCTACGAATTACAAATATTTTAACTATTTGGTCTGTCACATTAAATGAAGAACAGAGATTGACATTGTTTGGGAACAGGGTATTGAGAATATTTTACCTAAGATGACTGCATGACAGGAGGATGGTGAGAAAGAAAAAAAACGTGCCAAGGACATTCATAATTTCAACAACTCATTAAGTTATTAGGTTGATCATTTCAAGGGCAACATGGGCTGCTCCATGGAGTAATTTATTAATTAGGTAGTGGTTATTTTACAATCCCCAACTGTACAGCATAAATAAATAATTTAATATATTTACATATTCTTCTGTCAGAATACTTTAATGTAGGCATACAGAAATCACATTTGAAACTCACCATTGGACTGAACACAAACTCTGTTAGTTTCCATTGTTCTCTTACTTGAAAGTACTGGAAACGGTTCAGTGGCTTCATTTTTAAAGGATATGGTACCTGAAGAACTTGTGAAGTTTGAATGTAGTTTACTTTCCTAGCTCTGTACTTTCCCTTAGAATTGATTTCTACTCGAACTGGTTCATAAGCATAATTAGGATTGGCCACTTCAACAACATATGAACCAGATGGAACATTATTAATTGTGAAAGAACCATCTTCCCTGCGAAAAAAAGAAACATTATACATATCACTACAATTAGGTTGGATTTCACAATTTCAAGCACGTAAAATCAGTGCCTTCAAATTGTTCACAAAAAGGCATGTAAGTGTATATATGTGTGTTAGGTTTTCGCACAATGTAGTCTTAAGGAAGAGCATCCCTGAACATGGAAGAACAACGCTCCTCTAAAACGTTGGCATACATCCAAAAGATGTAACTCAGAAGACCGCCAACTTCACCCACACAGCCGTATAAACCTCCAATCCTACAACTAAATATTTAATCTGAATTTTTACATGTATACGCAAATACTGTATAAGGTACTGCCATCCTCAACAAAACTTGCAGGTTAAATTTTCAAAAATTATGAGTGCTACAATTCTCATGCTTAAATAGACGTCGTACAAATGCCTATTACATCATTCAACATCACTTACTTTAAAAATCCTACAAAATCTCCACCATTCACCAATACTCTAGTCGAAACTTGCCAATTACTTGCAACATTTGCATCCGGTGGAAATACTTTGCCTTCCACGCTAAATATTTCTGTTGTAACCTCATACACTTCTGACTGTATAACATTTACAAATCCTAGCAAAACCAGGATTAATGTGAAATTTAATAAAGAATGTCCTTCAAACACATACAGTTTAGCCATTTTACTTTTCTATTTACACTACCACTGCTGATATGTCGTAATAATGTGACCACTGCACAACAATTCGCTGTTGCCAGAAGAAAAGCCTTGCTGGTGGAAGTCGTTTCTGGTGGGGTGCAGGGGAATGTTTACTGCTAGGTGGACTAGAGGGCTGCTATTGGTGCGAAGTGTGATACGTCAGAGTCTTACACTACTACACACAGACTGAAAACATCAAGCATTTGAGATAATGACAGTCATGAGGAAGTTAGAAGGAGATTAAATTCTGGAAATGCTTGCTACTTCTCAGTTCAAAATATTTTGTCTTCCTGTCTGGTTTCTAAGAACCTGAAAATTAAAGTATACAAAACAATAATCTTACCTGTTGTTTTGTATGGGTGCGAAACATGGTCTCTCACTCAGAGGGAGGAACACAGATTGCAGGTGTTTGAGAATCGGGTGTTGAGGAGGATATTTGGGCCTAAGAGGGAAGACGATGGGGCGTGGAGAAAACTGCATAATGATGAGCTTAAAAATCTGTACTCCTCCCCCAGTATTGTCAGGGTGATTAAGTCGAGAAGAATGAGATGGGCGGGGCATGTGGCGCGCATGGATGGGACAAGAGGTGTGCACCGGGTGCTGGTTGGGAAACCTGAAGGGAAGAGACCGCTGGGGAGACCTAGACGTAGATGGGAGGATAATCTCAGGCGGGATCTATGGGAGATAGGAGTTGAAGGAAACTGGATTTTGTTGGCCCAGGACAGAGTCCGGTGGAGGGCTTTGGTTAATTCGGTGATGAACCTTCGGGTTCCGTAAGCCATCTATTTAGTTATTTTATTAGTGTAGTGAGTGCACCTGTTTTGTGGGTGTAATGCTTTTAGGTTGGCTAGTAGCAGCTCGTCACACACTGCGAAATCTTGCGCATGCGCATATGTCGCATTCTTAGCAGGGCTGCTCTCCTGGTCTGTGGACTGTAGAAGAAATTTCATTGTAGTTTGAGAAGAAATGTCCCACAATGAAGAAATATTTAGCAGCAAAAGATATTTCACTGAATTTTATTGAGTGATAAAGTTATTTTATTTTCTCGCTATTGCATGTTTTTAGTACGTTACAGCAATGTCTCAATCAAACAACGTTCTCACGAACAGATTTATTAAACGTCTTAGTGCAATGTACGTTGCGGTATTTTTGTCCAAATGAAGGATGGTACCCATGATTTTACCCGCCATCGGCCGGGAATATTGTAATTGTGTGCAGGTGTGTATGAAATAAGCTGAAATTTATACGTGAACATGTTCCAGAAACTAGAAATTTAGTATGTAATGTTTGTAACGTAATATATTGTAACATTTCATTCACATCTTTGTGTGATTAATAGCTACTTATTTTTGATAGGTGGCATGTGAGAAGCTAGGGCAAAGATTATTCAGAAATGTATATTCACGTGTTTAGTGTAACTAATAGTTTTTTTATAGGTGAGATGTAAGAAGTTGAGGTCAATATGGCACAGAAAAATACACTTTTTAATTATTTTACGAAGTCTCCCATACAATCGAAATTACAGAATGGAGGTTCACTTCAAACAAACGATAATTTTTTGGGAAAAGCTGGCGCAGCTACCCCTTCATCAGCAAGCAAGAAAGGCACTAAAAAGACACCAGCAAAGAAAGGTAGTAAGAAAATCGTTGAAACAGCAACTTCAGTAACACATGGCAAGGAACAGAATAAAGGAAAAGGTAATTGAAACTTAATATATTTTCAGGTACTGTAATTATAGAATTAATAGGTATGCGTGTATGTGTGGACTGATAGAATGAAATGGTATACAGAATTCCTATTAGAAATCTTGAAATAAGGGGTTGATAGTACGTAATAATAATATAATTAATTCAACTGTTACCATATCAGTAGAACTATTTCACTGTATCTGCATTTCCTTTTTCAGAGTTTGGTGTTTATGATATAGTTTGGTCAAAGTTAGATGGATATCCTTGGTGGCCAAGTTTGGTCTGTAATCATCCCAGATTGAAAACTCATGTTAAAGAAAATGACATTCATGTTCAGTTCTTTGATGATCCACCTACAAGAGCATGGATCCACAAGAAGTATGTACAAATGTAAAATATTTTCACTAAATGTGGCAGTACTAACATTCTGTCAGAGTTAATGTTGAAATGTCATGTTCAGGCTGTCTACAAGTATGAAATAGCAGACTTTCTTATTGAAAGGTTTCATTTGCCAGTGGAAACCCCTGGTTGTCTGGTTAAGTAAACATTCAGAATAATCCTGGGATATGGCTTGATATAGTATGTTACATTTTCATTGCCTCTAACTGATAGGTAAGAAGCTGGCATATAACAAAGTCCAAAAAATTAGTTTTTTATGAATTTTGTTGTGCAGAGGAATAACGGTCAGATATTGAAACAGGTGCATATAAGATTCTGGTTGCCAACCTCAAAGGAGGAGGTGAAAGGGACTTGGGAGATCTGACATTCACGAGAAGGTAGAATTTAAGTGGCCCGTGAATAAATTGGTTGTGAAGGTGTAAACTGGGTTGGAGTATTTCAGGACAGATTCCAGTTTTGTGTTTTACTGTACACAGTAATGAAATGATGTGACAATAGAGAATTTCTTATTTTTACTCAGAAGAATATCAAATGTTCAAGGAAGAATTCCATACCATGTAAAGCAACTGACATGAACGTTGGTGGCCGAGTTTTGGATGCTATTGCATGTCTACTGTCATATACCCTTCAGCCAGTCAGTTTTTGAGAGTTGGTGTATTAAGAATTTATTTATTTCAAGCATGAAGTAGATGATATATATATTAAAACACGCAAAAAATACAGTGATTGTGTGTTATGCATGGCTGACCATATTCTCAGTAATGACATTAAGTGGCAGACTTTTCTGTTTAATAAATGCTGCTGCCACCAGGGCTGTGGAGTTGGTACTAAAATCTCTGACTCCTTCATTAAAGCTCAATATGTATTCATCATCATGGATTAGGCACTAATGCCTGTTCCTGCTTCAAATTGATCTTCCCATCTTCTTGGCCGACCTTGATCTCTTTTCCCGCTAGGTTTGTAGCTGAGCACAGCCTTAGGATGTATGTCTTCAGACATTTGTTCCAATATGTATAAGGGTAAACCTACTAAAGTGGTAAATGGCACCATTAAGAGATTTCATCACCACCACGTGAATCATTAGCCTACTTTTTTAACTTATAACCTATATTTAAATATATGTCTAATGGTTATTGCAGAAATTGGTTGATTTGTAGACAGTTTGTATTCTTAAGGTACCGAGCCAAAGTTACACAGCATTATTCCCACACCATGTGGCTCAACGTGTCATTGAATCTTCCTAAGCGTTAGGCTGCCGGTGGCTCACACGGTATAGAAATTGTTCTTAAGATTTTATATCGAGGTCGGAGTCGGTACATTTTTACCAACTCCAACTCCACCTAAAATTGCTTCCAACTCCATAGCCCTGGCTACCACTAGGCAGTTTTTAGAAGTACTGAAAATGCTGAAATAATGTTACTGCTGATATTTTTCGTTGTTCTGAGTTGAAAGGGTTGTGAAAGGAATTTGGTAGAAAGGAGGAAAAACAGTATAGGGAAGGATGAAAGGGTGTAAGTAGTGATACAAAATAAATCATAATAAATCATTCCTTGTTGGATTTCAGCAGGCCTTTACTAGTGAAGTGAATTAAAGTAAACCAACTACCCTGTCACCAAATTTGTGTTTATTTAACTGACTTTTAAGGGATGTAAGCTATATCAAATGTTTAGGATTGTCCAACATTTCCACCAACATTGCAGTAGCCGTCTTCTGTGTGAATTCTCAATATTAGATGTGACTCACCCTTGAAAACTGAAGTTACACATTGATCTTCAGCCTTGAAACCCTGAAGACAACAAATTTGGATTTGTTGGAGAATTATAAAAGTCTGTTAAAATATGAGTAAAATAACTTTTCAGGGGGCAACTATAAACATGTGAACCGAAGTTGCATGCATAACTGGTCACTATATTGTGAGGGTAAACTGAGTTATTACAGTTTTTTGTATTTATTTTAGTGAAAATTTGCTTTATTTTATAGGTATGTGGAGATGTATCTAGATGGAATGAAGAAGCTAGCTCCAATTAAAGACAAAGACAAATGGAGAACAGCCTGTAACCAGGCTGATTCTGCTTTAAAGCTTTCAAATTTGGAGCGCAGTGAACTCATTGTTGATTATCCTGATGATTCAGCTAGTGACACAGAATGTGAAGATGAAGAAGAAGCTGAAGGTTTAAATTCTCCCTGTCATTATCATCTGACTGCATCTTTGAAATATTAGTGAAATTTTGTGAGGAGATGAAAATCAGGAGGAGAAATAATTATAGTGTTATCATCCATTGACATTTCCATCAAAACTTTTTTTTGTATGTGTGTCTACTCCTTTTGTACTGTTCTGTTTATCTTTGCTCACTTGGTATGGCTCATTGCTTGGTCTCCCAGTTGTCACCTTTTTTCTTTTTTAATTGCATTTCCATCTTGTTCTAATACCATACATTTTTATTTTTCTTAATTTCTTAACTCTCCTTAAAAACTTCATGTTTACTGTTTGTAATTTGTTTATATATATTTTATTCTATACAAGTTTCTGCTCTGTATATCAAAATAGGGAAGTATTTTGTTCTAGAACAGACAGAACATTGGCAGAGTAATTATACGATGTAATATCGGTGTTGTATTTGTTGTGTACAGGTGTGAACAAGAAGGACCAAGAAGTTGCTCAAGAAGATCCAAGTCCTCCACTGAAGAAGAGACGGATCCTTGTACTGGATAGCGAGGATTCAGAGGATGAATACAAACCAAGTAAGTAATGTAAAATTATATGTGGTACATTGTTTTTCAAGGAGACCTAATGAATTTCTGCAATACTTCCAGAAAAGGAAGAGCTTGATGTGCTGTCAGAGTCTGCAAGTTCTGGTATCGAATCTGATGAAGTATCAGGCATCGAAAGTGTTGAAGGATCTGAAGAGGGAACTCCTGTAAAGGTGGATTTTGTTATAAAATGAATTATGGAATCTGTTTATTTATAAAGGTTGAAACCTATTGCATTGAATATGTTTTTATTTTGTTTTTTCCAGGTAAATAAACGAAAACGATCTTCATGTAGTAAATCATCGAAGAAGAGTAAAAGTGTTGATCTAAATTCAACACCATCAAATGAAGTCAGCAAGGAAACAAGAGCAAAGTTGGCTGTATTTCCTTCTGAAGAGGTAAACTTGATGATTGATTAATTTGATTTTAAGTTTTTCAAGCTTAAGATCAGCCAAACAGTGAATCTATGTGTTTTATTTAGGATTCATGACCATGAGTTTAGTTATTTTAATTATTCATTTTTACAGAATTCTGCTGTAAAAAGGAATGACCTTGAAATCTTCTCTTCACCTTCCCAGACAGTTAAGGATGGAACAAAAGTGAAATTAGCATTATTTTCATCCAAGGAGGTAAGGACAAAATATGAAATAAAATCACAAGTGCGTTATTAAATCCATCATGAAAATTACTGCAGTGTAGTTCAGGGCAGAAATATTTAAGGCTATGCTGTTGATTACAGTTGAATAACTACTGACTTCTCAGGAAATAATCTATCTTCCTTTCCATTATTAGTAAATGTTGTTACATGGGATGTAAACATTTGAAACACATTCACAAATGTAATTTTTTGCAGAACACAGAAGCTAAACAAGCTGAAACTGTAAGTTCAGAACCATGGCCTCATTTGAAGCTTGATTTTTTGAAACCAAATAAAATTCGTGATGCTAAGAGACGAACTCCTGCAGATCCTGATTATGATCCCAAGACACTCTTTGTACCTGAAGAATTTAAAAGGAATCTGACTCCTGTAAGTGATTAACTAGAACTTTATTTTCTATACATTTTGTTGAAGCTGTATAGCTGATGATGGTGTTGGTGATGTGTAATCCATTTGTTGCTTGCATGATATGTTAATAAAGAAAAGTCATGATCTAGCTGCATGCTAACTGGACATGTTGAAATGTCATAAACTTTATTATTTTTTAGTGACTCTCATCATACCCATATGATATGAATTTTTACACAGCATACTGGAAACTTCTGTCATGTTTTGTTATTTATTGTTTGGTTCTTATAATCAGGACAAACAGGATTTTCAGTATCCCAGCATGGGCTGTTTCAGGAGAAAAAATAATGTAGGTGGCATAATTAATATAGATATTTTTTTTATTTAAGTGTAACACAAAGTACTGTTGACAGTGATGTCAAAAATAATATTATTGCATATACCAAAGTATGAAATAGTTTTACTTTACTTTTCAGTAAAAAAAATCAGTGGTTGTCATATTTACAGTTGAAATGAAATGAAAAAAATTCTAATTAGGTGTTGGCGGGAACAAAATGTTTGTAAGAGCTCATTTTTCTCCTTTTTATCCAGTACAGTAATTTATTCAACAGCTTGTAACATGGTAATCTCAACAGTTCTGTGCTTAGTACTGGAAAATACAAGAGAACATAACATTTTGAACTGAATTCTGTTAATGTGACTTGTATAGGTTATTTTACAGAAATTTGTGAAAACATACTTTGCTATGGAAAATGCTTTATACTGAATTTCTCTGAAATGAGATTCTGATGTTACTTTTCAGGCACTGAGACAGTGGTGGGAGATGAAGTCCCAGCACTTTGATTGTATTCTGTTCTTCAAACTTGGGAAATTTTATGAACTGTACCACATGGATGCTGTGACAGGTGTGAACGAGCTTGGATTGCAGTACATGAAGGTTGGTATATTTATTTGAATAAATAGAATCTTCTTCGTGAATTAAATATTTATAGCAATAACATGACAGTAAGATGTAAAGAAGAATTTACATGAATTCAGTCCCTAGTCTCATTCTGTTTATTTAAGATAAATTTTAATATTATCCTCCCAGCTGTGCTTAGATTTCTGAAAGTGACCTCTTGCCTTCAGTTTTTCAGATTTTGAGAAAACTGATTGACAAAAAAATTACTTGAATCTGATATGTTCTGCATATACATATGCATGTGTTTTAATTGTAATTCTGTACTACCATAGAATTTGATGCATTAGTTATGTAATTCTGCCTCCATTGTAGGGAGATAATGCACATTCTGGATTTCCTGAAATAGCCTATGGGAGATTTTCCAGTAGCCTTATAGAGAAAGGCTACAAAGTGGCTCGTGTTGAGCAGACAGAGACACCGGACATGATGGGGGAGCGCTGTAAAGGAAGTAAGTCAGTACCTTGATGTAGCAATTACACAGACAGGAAACTGCTATTATTAGGCCTCTGTAGTAAAATAAACCCTTCATGACCACAGGATAGGTTTATTTCACTGATTTAAAAAATCATAAATGCATACTGTTTTACCAGAAGGAACAGAATTTTTAAGATAGAAATTGCATGCTTTGTATTTAAAGGATTCTTTAAGAAATATGTCTGTGGAAAACAGTGTCAAAGTTGAAGATTGCTGTCTTTGGGTTATTGCGCCGTGTAGGCTGGTAGATCTACCAGACTACATGGCGCAATAATCCAGAAGACAGCAATCTTCAGACTCACCACTGAAAATCTCAACTCATACACAGTGTAAAAGTTATTACAGTGAAACCTCGATGCATCGTTTTCGGCGGGGGTGGGAAATAAAAATGATGAATGCGGGAAAACGATAGATGCGGGAAAGCATTAAAAATTTAAAAAAAAACAATGTTTCTCTTTCAAAGTTACTTCTTTTTACCAAAAAAGTCTTTAATGGACAACTGGTTTGTTGAAACTTTACGTTTTAGACCAAACAGAGCACTTTCCACGTTCAAAATGTTTTCTTCGTCACGTTCACTAATATTAAGCGCATAAAAGAACGACTTCACTTTCGCCAATGCAGCGTGCGCTTCGGCAAAACTCGGCAAAGCTTCGGGCGCGCATTCGTCGTCTTCCTCACCGCTCCCCCCCGCTTCGCGAACAATAACAGGAAGAATGGAAATACTATTACTGCCGAACTCAACGAAACGTAGCTGTAGAAGACCCAGAACCGCTGGAAACAAGATGAACCAGAAGAATGAAAAGTGCCGCCAGCCTTTCCTTTGTACTTGTAATAAAAGCATTTGTGAAGAAATTCACACTGCACATGCCATCTGGCATCGCTGGAACGAAATATGAGGGCTCGTTACAATTTCTCAGAAACGATCATTGCGGGAAAATTGTGTGCTGGGACTAAGATTTTTTAAGGATCGATGCGATAAAACGATAGTTCGAGGAACGATAGAAGCGGGAAAATGTAACATTATTTTATATGGGATGTATTCGGGACCGAACAAAACGGACGATGCATCCGGGAAAACGATAGTTCCGGGAACGATGGATAGAGGTTTCACTGTATTATTGAGAGTATTATGGTGTACTACAGACTTACCTTTTCTGCACAGGATGTGGTTTGCAGAAATATGCAAGGATTCTGTATGTTTTAAAATAAGGTCTGCAACAAGTGTAACCAGTGGTTGGACAGTAGAGAGTTGTTTGTATTATGTTAAATAATATTTTAATTTCAGTGGCAAAAGTTAGCAAATTTGATAAAGTAGTGAAAAGAGAAATATGCCAGATCACAGCAAAAGGGACAAGAGTCTTCAGTGTTATTGATGGAGGTGTAAGTGATGCAGAAAATAATTATCTTCTTGCTCTCACTGAAAAGGTAAGCTTAAATAATAACTATTAATTTATGTTAGAACATTAGGAAAAAATTGTAAGTTCAACACTTCAAAACAGTGATTTCAGGACCAGAAGTTGCTTTTTTTACCATAACATGTTACTAAAAAGGTCTTTTTAGCATATTTCTCTTGGTTAGTACTTTGTAACTTCATGGAGATACTGTCAGAATTCAGCTTGTTTGTTTTGTTTTAATGTATATTGCATAATACCTATTTTTATTGATGAATTCATCCAAAATAGATTGGAACTTATGTATTACTACATCTCTCTATTTACAGTATACAGGGGATTGTATCTCATACGGAATATGTTTTATTGACACATCAATTGGGGTATTTCATTTAGGACAGTTTGTTGATGACAGACACTCTTCACGTCTGAGGACTCTGTTTGCCCACCATCCTCCTGTGCAGGTATGTTTCTCAAAATTCAGCATATACCTCATAAACTTTAATTAAATATTTGCTGAAAGTTGTGCTGAGCTTCATAAGCTGTAATAATAGGCCTACATTTTAGTTGGACATAATTAAAGTATTAAGAGTTGAAATGATATATATTATGTTCCATCAGGTATTGTATGAGAAGAGAGCTTTGTCAGAAAAGACTTTGCAGTTGCTTAATTCATCATTAGCTTCAGTACTAAAAGAATCCCTTGCTTCTGAAACTGAATTCTGGAATTCTCACAAGACACTGACAACATTGGCAGAAGGGGGTTATTTCTCCTCAGAATCTTCAGGAGTGAAGTGGCCAGAGACACTGAAGCAATTTTTGAATGAAGGTAAGTCTTTGTTACGGGTGGGTAATTTGTGATACAGAAAAGGGTTTTAACCACTAATTGCAAAATAAAATGTATTATAGCAAGATACAAATGTGTAAGGCACTAAAATAAGGATCTGAATATCAGCTGAATCTCTGGGATTTGGATTAGCTCCTTCTGTTGGGCCCAACAGAATAGGCATTATCACCTTAAGATGGGAGCAGAGCCAGTTGCTGAAATGTTGTGGTTTTATTTTAGAATGTTGAGCAATGGATCAAGAGAAATAGCTTTACTGAACTCATTGTTAGGACCGTTTCAAGTTATATGGACTGAATTGCCTGAAACTTTTAATTTTAGCATGCATGTAATTCTGACATATAAATACAGGGTATTTTATAACAAGTTGTAAATTGTTTACTTTGAATGGTACACAGTTTAAGTAATAGAATAATTCAGTAAGTGTGCCCTGGTGTGTTACCTACTGATATTACTGTGTGACATTTGGAAATCTTTATTAAAATTACTTTTCAGAACTAGATTGACCCTCCAGATCAGTAGAAAAGCTTGGGAGAATGGCCAGCAAATATAAAGGAAATTGTGGCAGTGCAGGTTTAGAAATCCATTCCTATATGTGGCATTGTTGGGAATGATGGTTGTGATGTCTGAAGGTCCTGTAAATGGCTTTAAAAAAAGCTCTGCAACTATGTAGACAGCTTCTCCCCATGTGTATGCTCATTTCGAGCTTGAATAACAAAACAAATTGTTCATATTATCTGGGCTACAGATTTCTTCACAAAAGTTGTTAGACTTTGTTGCACGTCTGTGGCCATAAGATACATGAAACACCACACACATTTTAATTTTTCTACATTTTTTATAGACTTTGGGATTTATTGGTGAAATATTCTGTGTTGCTGAAGTAAGCTGGATGTAGTGGATATTTCACTGCTGTCATTTTGGTGGTTTATATTATACAAAAAAGTAATCTTGATGTGAATTACATACTCCGCAAAGATCTGTCACCACAGAGTATTAAATTAAGTGGCTGTAGTGTTTCCTCCACCTAAGAAGTTCACATAGTTGTCATGTAGGTAATAGGAAGTGCAAGTTGAGTGGCCTCCATTGGTGTCACATTTATGTTGTTTTATGAAAATCTATGAATTGGTTCAAAAGCCGATAGGGTTGGATGGACACACACATATACATTAATACTGTAATTCTATCATTCCATGTGAAACAAAGAAATCTGGTTAAGTATATTAACCAGACATGTGTTTTCAGTACTGTACTTTCCATTTTATTGCCAGCTGATACCTTGGGACTCACTGCCCATGATGAGTATGAATTAGCTGTGAGGGCACTTGGTGCTTGCGCTTGGTATCTGAAGGAAAGTTATTTGGATCAGCAGCTGTTGTCCATGGGAAGGTTTGAACTGTACCAGCCACAAGATCTGGCAGGTACCAAGGAACCTGCTGCAACTGTTGTCCCTATACCATCCTTCAGCAGGCACATGGCAAGTATTGAAATACTACATTTGTGAGTATTGCAGTTTATTAAATCCTTTTCTGTACATAATGCTGTGAGAACATTGATATTAATTCTGAGGACGTAAAGATCTATCCATATGTTAACAGTGCTCTGAGTTACATAGAAACCATATCCAAATGAGAAAGGTTCTGAGCATTGTTTTGTGTTCTGGAGAGTTAATAATGAGCTTTATCATACCTTTATTTTTATCAATAGGTTTTGGATGGCATAACACTTCACAATTTGAGCATTCTTGAAGATCATTCTGGAGAAAATGATGGAACTTTACTGCAGAAACTGGACCTTTGCTGCACACCATTTGGAAAGAGGTAATATTATTTGGTCTTGTTAAGTACAGGATATTAGATTTTGAATCTAACTTTCTGACCAGGATTTTAATCTGTATGAGGCTTGTTCAAACTAAACCTCTTAGGTTATTCTGGTTGAAGGATTAGAGGCCATTAAAAATTGTCCTCATGGGTGCTGAGACAGGCATTCCATTCATGCACCAACCAGTGGGTCCCCTCTGTAAAGAACTCAGAAAATTTCTGCTGGATTCATTACACTGCAGCTTTGACCCCTTTGATAAAATCTACAAACCTTTAGTGCTTTTTTGAAGGGGCTGAACACCCGAAAGTCATGAAGTGACAGGTTCAGGCTGTTTGGGTGTGGTCCAACATCTTCCAGTGCATGTAGCATGTTCTGGACAATGTGAGTCGCATGAGGATGTCCATTGTTATGCAACATGATGAAACCCTTTGAGATTATGCTGGGATGCTTTCTCTTTGTGGTTGCTAATGATTAGCACCAAGAAACTTAATTATAGCTCATTCCTGTTTTAACAGCCTCTGAGCCTTAATCACTGACCTTGTTACACTGTTTGTATTTGTTCTGATGTGCTCATTCTGTTGCATAGCTGATGGTCAAATGCCTGCAAGTCATGCACACAGCCATGTGTTTACCTGATCTGTGATCAGCCGTATTCACTAACAACACCAAGAATGGGTTATATTTGAGCAGTTCTCATAAGTAACATGGATTAAGAGCTATTTCTAACCTAATCACTTCACTGAAGTATCTTCTGATGTTACAGGTTATTGCGTCATTGGCTGTGCAGTCCCCTGTGTGACATAGCTGGCATTACAGCTCGACAAGAGGCTATCACTTGGCTACTGAAGAATCCTTCACTGATTTCTGAAGCTAGAGACATGCTTAGTCAGCTGCCAGATTTAGAGAGGCTGCTTAGCAAGTAATGCAGCTTTGTTATGCCTGCAGAATTCCTGTCCTTCCCTTCTCCAAACTTCTTAATGCATGGACTTTTGTTTCAAATCTAACTGGTTTTGACAACCAACATGGAACAGGTTTAGCTAAGTAAAAATGTATCTGATGTACTTAGCAGATATGTGGTCTGGTACTAGCTATTAGTAACGTGCAAAACAAATATTATCACATTAAATTTACAAATCAGTTAATGATGTTCACATGAATGTTGTGTATTTGTTCCTTTCTTTCTTTCATAACTAAATATTGTAACAAAACAAGAG